GCTGTCCCTGCCTGCAGACTGAGCTCCTGTGTGGTCACAGCTGGATACCGCAAGTGACCATTACAAAACACATTCCTCAGGCAAGGTCCTCTGTTGTCATCATTGTGAAATGCCATGCAGCCAATACTGGAGTGCAAGCAGACAGGAAGTGGCTGCAAAGAGGCTGCAGGAGATCAGCAGCACTGAGATTCAAACTGACAAAACAACCCAACCTGCCTAGAGATCTGCGCCTTTAACCACTTTTCTTTTGGAGCAATATTTGTAGTTTTTCACACTCGTTAAAAATAAATCTGTATTTTTTTGCCAGAGAATTACTTTAAACCACCCAACAATTATGTGCTTCCTGAAAGCAGAATAAAATAGTGGCAATTCAATTTTTTTTTAAATATCACATTTGTACAATATTTGTGCAGCTGTTTATCAAACAGTAAAAAAATACACTAAAGTTAATTTTAGTGACACAATATAATATACAATTTTTGATAAAATATAAAAGAAGGGATTGCATTGATTAAGTAGACACCAAGCCTTAACCTCTTGCCACCCATATAATGCATATGTGTGGTGGACACACATGTGACACATACACTATATGGCCAGAAGTATTGGGACGCCCCTCCAAATCATTGGATTCAGGAGTTCCAATCACCTCCATGGCCGCAGGTGTATACAATCCAGTGCCTAGGCATGCAGATTGCTTCTACAAACATTTGTGAAAGAATGGGTCGCTTTCAGGAGCTCAGTGAATTCAAGTGTGGTACCGTGATAGGTTGCCACCTGTGCAATAAGTCCATCAGTGACATTTCCTTGCTACTAAATATTCCACGATCAACTGTTAGTGGGATTATAACAAAGTGGAAGCAACTGGGAAGAAAAGCAACTCAGCCACGAAGTGGTAGGCCACGTAAAATGACAGAGTGGGGTCAGCGCCTGCTGAAGCGCACAGTGTGCAGAAGTCACCAACTGTCTGCAGAGTCAATAGCTAAAGACCTCCAAACTTGGTGTGGCCTTCAGATTAGCACAACAACAGTATGTAGAGAGCTTCATGGAATGGGTTTCCATGGCTGAGCAGCTGCATCCAAGCCTTACATCACCAAGTGCAATGCAAAGCATCAGATACAGTGGTGTAAAGCAAGCCACCACTGGACTCTAGAGCAGTGGAGACATGTTCTCTGGAGTGACTAATCACGCTTCTCTGGCAATCCAATGTACGTGTCTGGGTTTGGAGGTTGCCAGGAGAACAGTACTTGCCTGACTGCATTGTGCCAAGTGTAAAGTTTGGTGGAGGGAGGGATTATGGTGTGGGGTTGTTTTTCAGGGGTTGGGCTTGGCCCCCTAGTTCCAGTGAAGCTCCAGTGAAGGGAACTCTTAAGGCATCAGCATACCAAGACATTTTGGACAATTTCATGCTCCCAACTCTGTGGGAACAGTTTGGGGATGGCCCCTTCCTCTTCTAACATGACTGCGCACCAGTGCACAAAGCAAGGTCCATAAAGACATGGATGAGCGAGTTTGGGCTGGAGGAACTTGACTGGCCTGCACAGAGTCCTGACCTCAACCCCATAGAACACCTTTGGGATGAATTTGAGCGGAGACTGCCAGCCAGGCCTTCTCGTCCGACATCAGTGCCTGACCTCACAAATGTGCTTCTGGAAGAATGATCAAACCTTCCCATAGACACACTCCTAAACCTTGTGGACAGCCTTCCCAGAAGAGTTGAAGCTGTTATAGCTGCAAAGGGCGGGGCCAACTCAATATTGAACCCTACAGACTAAGACTGGGATGCCATTAAAGTTCATGTGCGTGTAAAGGCAGGCCGACCAATACTTTTGGCAATATAGTGTATGCATCTATGGACAGTAGAGGTTCCTGTACTAAGAACGTACTCACCATGCACTGCCAGTACAGAGGCTGAGCTGTTAAAGACAGTACCTCCGGCTCCCGGTCATGTGACCACCGTGACAGCCAATTACATTATTATTATTATACATTATTTATAAAGCGCCAATAGTTCGCTCAGCGCTGTACATTACAGAGGGGGACAGAACATGTGACAGTACAATACCAATACAATGCAAAACATGAGGGGATCGAGGGCCCTGCTCTTTCGAGCTTACAATCTAGGAGATTTCATTAGCTCATTAGGTAGATGAGCCCTCCCCTCTGGACATAATAGCCCAGATAACAGGACAGGTTTGGGGGGTGGAAAGGGTTAAAAATTGTGATAGAATTTATGAAAAACTAAGGACCCCCAATTATCGATAGGTGATGCTATTTATAAACTTATTTACACTTGTGTGCTACCCCTCTAAAAAGAAATTGGAGGTATAAGTAGATCGCTTTTCAGAGGGGATCAGACAGCCTCCTTAGTGCCTATGTGCACCACCACACTGCAAGCTGCAACAAGACGGTAGAACCTGCCTCATTTTCTGGCAGCAGGACTTCCAGCATCATCTAGCTTTTTCCTCTCCAGACTGACTAACTCTGGCGTGCCATCTTTCATTATTGGATTTCAGTTCTGTCAATCACGGAGAATCAGCATCACATGTGGGCAGGAAAAACTCTAAAATGACTACACTGCGCTCTGTGTATGAAAAACAGAACAATTTAAAAAAAAAAATGAAAATCATAAAAATAGAAAATATAAAAATATGGGGGAAAAAAAATCTAACAGCTGCACTCACTGTATATCCCCACCACAACACACACTAAATAAATCTCTAAAATGTGTTGTATGGTTGAAAAACTATATATAACACGCACACACACACATACACACACACTAAAGTGCTTACATAAATAATACCAGTAATCAGAAATACAAAACAAACATAAATCATAGCAATAATAAATAGATGAATGAAAATAAATACATTATATAATAAGTGGATAATGCAATAATTATGTGTTAAAGTCCAATCTCCTGAAGGTGTAAATAATCTGTGCTCAGTCCATGCAAATTATTATTATACAGTATTTATAAAGCTCCAATAGTTCGCTCAGCGCTGTACATTACAAAGGGGGACAGAACATGTGACAGAACAACAACAATACAATGCAAAACATGAGGGGTACGAGGGCCCTGCTCTTTCGAGCTTACAATCTAGGAGGGAGGGGATGGTGGCACAGGAGGAGATAGCTGTGGGGGATGGGGTGGTAGGAAGAGTGGAGGAGGTTGGCAAGTTAGCAGGGGGTGGGGTAGGCTTCCCTGAAGAGGTGTGTTTTCAGGGTGCGCCTAAAGGAGAGGAGAGTAGGTGATAATCTGATGGGTTGGGGCAGGGAGTTCCAGAGGATGGGTGACACCCTGGAGAAGTCCTGGAGGCGGGCATGGGAGGAGGAGACCAGGGAACTAGAGAGAAGGAGGTCTTGTGAGGAGCGGAGTGTGCGTGCTGGGTGGTACTTGGATATTAGGTCAGTGATGTAGTTCGGGGCAGTATGGTGGACGGCTTTGTACGTCAGTGTTAGGATTTTGAATTTGATCCGTTGCGCAATCGGAAGCCAAATGAATGAAGTGACTTGTGCTTCAAATCTTCACCATCATACGTGCCGCCCACATAAATATAGGCCTCTTACCAGAACCAAAGACCTTACAACCAAGGTCTAAAATTGCCTGATGAAAAAAAACAATCCGGGATGGATGGATCAAAGCTCATGCATCCAGCAGCAATCAATCTTTACTGCTGGTGCTTAATGCCCCACTCATAGCTCCTCCGTCAGATATCATCCAAGTCACCAGATAAACATTAAAATTCAAGAAGCATGCCAAATATAAAGCATCCTGCTCCCCAGCAGGCGTGATGACGTCACCACTAAGTCTCCAGCCAACGCGTTTCATCCTAATGGACTAATTCATTGGGGCAATGGAGATCTGCAGGCTGCAGCGAGATGGTAGAACCTGCCTCATTTTCTGGCAGGAAGACTTTCAGCATCATCTAGCCCTTTCCTCTTCAGACTGACTAACTCCGGTCTGCTGCCTTTCATTATTAGATTTCAGTTCTTTAAATCATGGAGGCTCAGCATCACATGTGGGCAATAACTAAGTCCAAATACCTACATAGGAATTTCCACTCCTCCAGACTAACATAAGCTTATCGAAATATTTTGATTTTGTGTAACACCTCCTATGTGCCACCCTGCTGCTTGCATAAGGGTGGAGAGCTCTTGAGAGCACTGAAGCAGGATGATGTGACGTTTTCAGGAAGCTATTTACAGCTCCTCCTCCCACCCGCCATAATCTGCCTGCATTTCATAGAGAAGCACAGAGACCCAGTGATGATGTCTAGATGATGCTGGAAGCCCTCCATCCAGGAAATGAGGCAGGTTCTGTCTGATGTGCTGCAGCTTCTAATGTGCAGTGTGAGAAACTCACAGTGTGCGGTAAAATCAGATGAAGCCATTTCAGAGAGGTGCAAGACTGAAGGGAAGGTCAGAAGTGTATATAAATCCTAATACTGAATGTCTCTTATTTGCTCCCCTGTTCCATTGAAAGTGTTTTGTTTTATCAGTTCAATAAGTACACAAAATACCTGTGGATCCTGCCAAAAATCCAGAATTGCCTCTACCACTTCCTGTGTTATCTCAAGGAGTCTAATCAGCCCTCCTGGTTCTTATTTTGGGACTACAGAATGATTAGTCTTTATACTGTGGAGATGAGCGAGTGGGAGGGTTTGAGTAGTTTGGAAAGAAGAAAATGGGCAGGACTGACACTGCTCGGTTTACAGAAATGCTGTGTGTAGTCATCCCATGGCAGGACTTGCTTGCTGAGCGTATTTCTTACAGATCAACAGGCATTATCCTGCACTTGCTGTGCAAAAAAAAAAAATGGATACAAGATGGGGTAATGTGTATGTATTATTTTTGGCTATTTTTACCTGACATACACTTTAAGGAACCACAGCATTTACAGGAAAGCCATGCCACCTAGGGGAGAACATGCAAACTCCATGCAGATGGTTTCCTGGGGAGAATTTTGCCCAGAATTCCAGTGCTACTCGGCAAGCTCATTAAAGTGTTACCCCAGGACCCTGCATTCACTATATCTGGTCTCCCCAGGACCCTGCATTCACTATATCTGGTCTCCCCAGGACCCTGCATTCACTATATCTGGTCTCCCCGGACCCTGCATTCACTATATTGGTCTCCCCGGACCCTGCATTCACTATATCTAGTCTCCCCGGACCTCATTCACTATATCCAGTCGCCCGGACCCTGCATTCACTATATCTGGTCTCCCCGGACCCTGCATTCACTATATCTGGTCTCCCCGGACCCTGCATTCACTATATCTGGTCTCCCCGGACCCTGCATTCACTATATCCGGTCTCCCCGACCCTGCATTCATCTATATCTAGTCTCCCGGACCCTGCATTCACTATATCTGGTCTCCCCACCCTGCATTCACTATATCTGGGACCCTGCATTCACTATATCTGGTCTCCCCTGGACCCTGCATTCACGATATCCGGTCTCCCCGGACCCTGCATTCACTATATCTAGTCTCCCAGACCCTGACCCTGACCCTGCATTCACTATATCTGGTCTCCCCGGACCCTGCATTCACTATATCTGGTCACCCACAGTACACAGAATGTGGAAATGCAATTATTTTAGTAAATACAAACTGGTAAATACCTTTTCTCATCAGCAGTATATAGCAGTCTTGTGAGTTCTATCAGTATCCAGCAGAGCACTGGTTAAAGCTTGTAGTAGGAGTTTTCATTCTCCCTGGATTGTCCTATGAGGCTGCTGGACCCCTCACCCTCTGTCTGGACAGTACTGATCACATTCATTCTCCAAAAGAAAAAAAAACAATACGCACCAAACTGGGCATGTGCAGTTTGCCCCCAAGGCTCTGTTCCTTCAGCAGATGGATTGGGGACTGTGGAAGAAGGGGAGGATCAGAGCAGACAGGATCAAACAGCCTTTATACACAATGCAGAGGATTAACTCCTTAAGTTCCACAGTGAGTATAACAAGCATGCTTTACTGCATATACAGACTGATTGTACTGTTGTGGGATTTAGTCACACTTTAATCTCCTGTGGTACCCAAAGGATATTTATCAATGTCTCTCAAGTTGCCAAGGCCAGCTGCGATCATTCTTTGTGCTTTGATGGGTGGTCACAGAATTCCTCCACCTAGAACTAAGGTCTCATTCATACTAGCAGTGCTCACTGAAGCGTGATTGTATTAGGATCACTCTTCAGAGAGCTTTTGACAGGTGGTGAGGAAGGGATATATCACCTCCTCACCAATTACTTCAACCACATAATCGCTTCACTGCGTGCATTATTGCATGGCACTCGCTGAGCAGCCCCTTTCACTTGAATGGGTCATAATTCCTGCTGCGAAGTAAAGCCTCGAGGCCACTGCATGTGTAAAGGGGCAGTGGGTGGAGGATGGTAAAACTGTGACTCATCTGCAGGGTTTTAACACCCACCAAAATCACGTGTGAACCGGGTCAAACTTAATTGAACAAGCTGAAGTTGAAAGCTGATTGGCTACCATGCAGATCTGCACCAGATTCTGCACACTCTAGTTTTAGTAAATCCCCCCCAGTGTTTCAAGGGATGAATCATGGTAGAATTTGTTGCATTCATAGGCCTCTGCATGGCTATTGTAGGGCTCATTCACAGCAGAGGTAAATCAATGTCAGGGGTCTTCTGATGCCTTTCGCCGTGTTTGGATTATATCCTGCATGCTGCAGTTTTGAGTTCACAGTTCCGCAGCCTCTCATTGAGTTTAAAGTGATATTAAAGGTAATTTTTTTTTCATTAACAAACATGCCATACTTCCCTGCTCTGTGTAATGGTTTTGCACAGAGCAGCATGGATCCTCCTCTTCTCGGATCCCCCCACCAATGCTCCTTCTTTTCCTTGAGTGCCCCCATAGCAATCTGCTTGCTATGGGGTCACTCATGCCAGCTCAGTTCCGAGTCTCATTCTGTGTGTCCATAAGACACACAGAACGGGGCTCGGCCCTGCCCCCACACCCGGGAAAGCAGCTGCTCTCATGCACATCGCTGGATCGTGAACCATTTTAACCACTTGTGGACACTGAACACACAACGCATGTCCAAAAAACTCATTCAGGTGCACAGGACTTATGTGGTATGTCTGGTCCTTCTGGCCTTCTCCCCCTTGCACTTGCTAGCAATTCTTGGCTGTCAAAATGACAGCCGGGAGTTGCTAACTACAGCCGCTGTAATAGGCAGGCATCTGGTGAAGTGTTTATAAACATTGTTCAGTGACATAGATACATAGTTACATTTTACATGCACATGTTAGCTACGCGGCTTTATTCACTTGCAGCGTATTGACCTGCATATGATGTCAGTTAGAATACATTTAGAAGTGCAGCAAGTTTGCACTTTCATATAACTTTTCAGGGGCATTTGACAGGCAGTGAGGAGGTGACATGCCACCTCCTTACCACCTGCTTTAACCCCCTAAATCCTGCACCAAAGTGTTATGGTAAAAACATAGTTCAACCACGTGGTTTTGTTTTTGAATCAATGTGCTTTTTTGAAACGGACAGATTGTGTTCTGTGTTCAATAGACTTGAATGGAACCACACCAAAAATGTACCAAAAACGCAAGTGTTGCATTTTTTTATGTGGTTTTTTTTTTTTTTTTTTGCAATAGTAAAGTATTGACTTTTATGTGACTTTGGATGGGTGCGACTTTGATGCAACTTTATACTCTGGCACTCAAGTAGCATGAAAGTTGCATCAAAGTCACACCCAATCAAAGTAGCATCAAAGTCACACCCATTCAAAGTAGCATCAAAGTCACACCCATTCAAAGTAGCATCAAAGTCACACCCAACCAAAGTAGCATCAAAGTCACACCCAATCAAAGTAGCATCAAAGTCACACCCATTCAAAGTAGCATCAAAGTCACACCCATTCAAAGTAGCATCAAAGTCATACCCATTCAAAGTAGCATCAAAGTCATACCCATTCAAAGTAGCATCAAAGTCACACCCATTCAAAGTAGCATCAGAGTCATACCCATTCAAAGTAGCATCAAAGTCACACCCATTCAAAGTAGCATCAAAGTCACACCCATTCAAAGTAGCATCAAAGTCACACCCAACCAAAGTAGCATCAAAGTCACACCCAATCAAAGTAGCATCAAAGTCACACCCAATCAAAGCAGCATCAAAGTCACACCCATTCAAAGTTGCATCAAAGTCACACCCATTCAAAGTTGCATCAAAGTCACACAACAATCAAAGTAGCATCAAAGTCACAAACAATCAAAGTAGCATCAAACACAAAGTAGCATCAAAGTCACACCCAATCAAAGTAGCATCAAAGTCACAAACAATCAAAGTAGCATCAAAGTCATACCCATTCAAAGTAGCATCAAAGTCACACCCAACCAAAGTAGCATCAAAGTCACACCCAACCAAAGTAGCATCAAAGTCACACCCATTCAAAGTAGCATCAAAGTCACACCCAACCAAAGTAGCATCAAAGTCACACCCATTCAAAGTAGCATCAAAGTTGCACCCATGTAAAGTCTTATCCAAGAAGCATCCAAATCGCACCCATTCAAAGTCACACCAAAGTCACATCCAAGTCAAAACAAAGTCCGTACTTTCCTATTGGCAAATAAGCCCTACAAAATGAATTAAAAAACACATCAAAAGCACACATTCAAAAAATGCAAAACGCATCAGGAAATGCTTTGTTACAGGCAGCGGTGTGAACCTATGTGGCTCTTTGATTAGACTCTGCTACTTCTCACCTAGCAGGGCAGGGCTTTTGCCCCTCACTCCATGATTAAAATGGTATTAAAAGCAGTTGGTTATTTCCAGATTAAATGCTGAGAAATAATTGTGTTGAATTATCAGACTGATCAGTATAACCACCATTAGGGGCTTTTACACATGGTGCTTAAAGGGGCACTCTGTCCCTGCTCCTGATGGTGGGCCTGGGTTCTTGTTATAGGAGTGCACAGACTATTACTCAGAAAAGCTTTGGGTGCAATGTGTAGCACTGGTCAGTACCAAGGCTGCAACCCTCTCTAATCCATGAGCCCCCTCCCGGCTCTGGAAGAATTCCTATACACTCAGCAAGTTATGCGTTTAACACAAAGGCATTTTGTTGGGTTTAAACAGAAGACAGTTTATTTCTCAGAGTAATATAACTTTATGTATTGTGGTTTCCAGGCAACAAGGAAGTGTTGATCGTGACCTTTTTTTAATTCCTATTGCAACCTGTATTATTCCAGAGTCAATTCCCTGTAGCCCTTTTGGTGGGGGGTTGTTGTTTTCTCAAGCTAGTAAAAGAAAATATTACCTACAACTTTTTTTTTTTATTTTGAATAGAATGGGAAAAGGTTGGAATATCTATCACAGACTTTCTCAACCTTTCTACCCTTGAAATCAATGTTGAGTCTTGTGGAATCCCTGCTCCACCCAAATTCTTTGGTGACCTGTGGGACAAATAGCCCTTACACTGATGGTTAGCGTGAAGAATGGCCTCTTACAGTAATGGTCATAATGCCACCCTTACAGACAACCAAACATTTTTTTGGTGTCATGCAGCTGGATCTGCTATTTGCCACTGGCTTCAGAACTATGTTAGCACCATCAGATGGAAGGTCAATCAACCACAGCTCAAGGAACAGCCAGCAACTTCTGGAGGAACTGTAGGGTTCCATGGAATCCTGGTTGAGAATGGATGCCCTACTGGGTTTTATTGTTCCATTAGAGATATTTCTCACTTTCTGTCCAGGGGAAAACCTTTGTACCAATCAGGAATGAAGGGATCTCTCCAATGGAGCCTCAACAACATCAGTAAATTCTGACAGGTGTTTGAACCCTTTCCCACTCTATCCAAAACTAAAAAAAAAAAAAATTTGGCTATAGGTACACTTTAATTAGTTTGGTTTATTTCTTTCACTCAATCTTACTTTTTTTCTGTGCCTTTCATCCATTTTTTATCTGATCTTTTATAATAGATATTGTTGGGAGAAGTATCAAATGGGGCACCCATTATTTTTAAGGGGGCTATAAGGAGCCCAAATGTAGAAGCATTAGGGCTCATTTACACTTGCTTTGACTTTAAAGTGGTAGTAAACTTTGTTTTTTAACTTCTACCTACAGGTAAGCCTATAATAAGGCTTACCTGTAGGTACTGTAAATATCTCCTAAACACTTGTGTAGAGCACCGTGCACATGCACTCTGAAGGAACACATGTCAAACAACAAAAAAAAAAAAATTCCAAGCTCTAACTTGCCAGCCAGCCTGCAAACAAAACAAATTATCCTGTCTAACAGTATGCGTAACAGGGGTTTAGTTAGCACATATTTGCAAATACATGCGTAAGTTACAGAGCCTCGTCACGGCACCCCAGTATTTGTAGTTCCCAACTCTCCAATTTTAAGAGCCCCCATAGTAGAGGCACATGTATTTAATTGATAGACCAAGGCAGATGGACCTGAGGGAGCCCACCCTCCTTAGAGATACAGGAGCACACCGGACACCAAGCATATAGCACAATGGCAGCTAAGGTGTCCAGTGCATCCTCCTCGACCAACAATTCAACAATACAAAAAATGGCC